TCATATGTTGCGAAGAAACCATATTTTAAATCAGTTGCTTTATAATAGATACACACACACACACACACACACACACACACACACACACACACACACACACACATATATATATATATATATATATATATATATAGGTGTACATTTTCTTTTCATTTTTGTTTTGAAGTAAAAGTCTGATGATCCGCAGTCCTTTTAAAAGGGATGTGGTGAAATAATTTATTACATGGAACCTTAAAAGTGGTCTGTTTTTATTTAATATATATATATATATATATATATATATATATATATATATATATATATAGTCTTAAGGTGTGCTATATTTATGGGATAAAGTGCTCAATATCAGAGATAGAGCGTGTGTAAATATAAAAGTGAACATATGTCAACATTTATAGCCGAAATAGAATAAAAAAATCTATGAACCCAAATAAATAAATAAAATGATAAACAAATTAGCAAACCATTATGATCAAAATATTAGTTAAACTATAAAAATCAAAACAAAAATCGGACGAAAAAATTGCTATAACTGTTATATAACGATAAAAGAAAGAAAAAATACTACGTTACTTAAAAATCTAAAACCAAAAAGAGTAAATAAAAATATACAGTATAATAAATAAGTAAAAAACAAGTAAAATAAATTAATCAAAATTAATCCAAATAAATAAATAAATAAACTAACCGATTCCGATAAATTAACCGTTAGAAAAAACAAATAAAAATAGTCAATTCAAATAAATACATGAAGTAATAAAAAAATTAAAAACTGATAATAGTTAGAATAAACTACAACAATCAACCCCAAAATTGAATAAATAGCTTTAATTATCTTCCCAAATCAAAACAAAACTATTACATAAGCGATATAAACAAATTTTACTCCGTTAATAAAAACACCGATTAAAATGAAAAAAAAAATACATAAGATAAGAAATAAAAATAAAAAAATAAATAAAAACAAGCAAAATAATTTAACCCAAATAAATAAATAAACAAATAAACGACTTCCGGTAAAATAACCGCCAAAATAGACTACCCACAATGCACCATTAGCCCGTATATATAAATAACCGAGAAAAATAACAGCACTTGTGGCCTGACGATTGCGTCTAGCAATGAAAACAGACTGTCGCCTCTACGTGTTGACTTCTATGTTCACTTTTATTATATATATATATATATATATATATATATATATTAATGATACAATTATTGGTAATCCGTATTATATACCACTTACCTACAGTGAAATTACTGCTTTTTAAACAACAAATTTCCCATGATTTTTCTTGAACGCTCATATCTGCTCGAAGCATATCTTAGCGTAAACAAATATATTATGAAATGTACTAAGATCACGAATTATTTTATAAATTTTCTGTTTATACGTTATTTTTATACATACAATTATTTAAGTACATGCCTTGTTTATAATAAACAGTAGTAACAGCATTTACCTGTCTGAACATCCGAGAAATTTCATAGAAAATCTGTCCTCAGACAGGAATCGAACCTGTAGCCTACGCGAAACCGTCATATAGCCTGACGTGCTTTACCATTTAGCTACAAAGGAAGTGTCTGGTTAGCAATGTTTTAAAACAGTAATTTAATTTTGCTAACCAGACGTTTCTTTCAAACTTCTTGCTTGTGGACCCCTCATCTGACATTTTGATTTCCATTTACTTGGATCTTCAAACATTAAATACTCTCAATAGTTATCTGTCATCATCTTAATTCCTGTTCGTTTATTGTTCTGTCGCATTTAATTTTTTCTCCTTCCATATTCAGTAACCCCTTGCTTCTTGGTGGCTTTATTGCTTTATTTGGGGTGAGAAAAAAAGAAGTTATTTTATTCAATTTTCCATGTGAATAAACCTTTTTCCTTAATGTATAAAATTTTGCTATAATCTGTCGTAATACACAAATTGATAAATTCTCTGTAATCAATCAATTCAAAAACTCAATGCTGATCCCTTATTTGAAAAGACTAAATCAGATTTGTTATTTTAAACTTAAATCCAGATTAAATTTTATAACTGTCGTTGCCGGAATTCGAACACTGACCCATGCCCCAAAATGATAGTTTTCTGCTGATATGCATTCAAACGCTGAAATTGTTCTGACAGGTTTTCTCAGTCGCGAACGCATAATCTACAAGAAATAAATAAAATAAATTGAATAAATAAACAAAAACATAAACATGAATCTTCATGAAAAGCATCCCTATCACGAACAATCCTGATATTTGTGAAGAGGTAGATATTCAAGGTTTCGAAAATGTGAAAAAATTGAAAGAAAACGGTTAAATACTTAACCTCGTGTTATTCAAAATATATAATACAGAAAGCAATCCAAAAATAAAATAATTTAAATATTAATTTATATAAGAAACAAAGATTAAAAAAAAATGACTTATTAACTTTCGTTTATTAGACATTGAATTGTGTCACTTTGTGTCCACCATAGTTTTCCTGATTTGTCAGCTAACCTGATGAATATTTATGAGTATTCCTTAACTTAAACACTTGAGAAACAAATAATATTTTTGCTGTTGTATACGTGTTACAAAATCCTTGCATTTCCTTGATGAATGAAGTCCCTCAGAGGACGAAACGCGTCGGCTAAAATAGATATTCCTTTTGTCATTATTCACATTCAAATATATATATATATATATATATATATATTGTAGTGTAATTAATATTATAAAAGAAATAATCATACAAAGAATAAATCAGTAAAGTTAATGAAATTAATGGCGAAATCATTTCGCTAACAGATTAAATAAAGCATTAACTTTCTAACCACACGTTGACCGACGCGATCCTTATTTTTAAAAATTGTAAAATAGATTGAATGTTCAGTCCATATATAAGTACTTTCGATAAATGCTTTTATCATCTTCAATCATGGATGTTATATTTCAATTTCAGGTAAGTTGAGGTAATCTAATAAATAATGTAAAAATGTAAAAATTTTGCTTTTTTTTTATAAAGTCTGTTATTATTAACAGTTTCATTTTTAAAAAAAACTTCTTTCGAACTGTATTACATTTATTTTCGTCTCGGAAAACATTTTTTAATTTTTTTTTGCGTTAAGATACGCATCGAACAGATATGAACGTTCGAGAGAAATCATGGGAGTTTGTAGTTCAAAAACAATAATTTAACTTTGCAAATATATATGTATGCATATTTTGGCAGCATGTCATTATTGAGGCATGTGATATTAAAGACTACGGAACTTTTCCGCTTAATAATATTTATATTTGTATCTAAGCTGTTGAAAAAAGACCCCAGTCCTTGATATGGTACCGAGCGTTTTCAGTTGTCGTCAGCCGTCATCACAGCTGTATGTTTTGTTTTGAAGTAGGTTACTTTTTATTTTTATATTTTATAGATATTATTTTGCATTATTTAAGCAGTGTTGTTGGATTAGTTCATTAATAATTGGGTGGGGGTCGTTATTATTTGGAGGATTACTTATTAAATATGTTTAAACTTTTTCAACAAATTAGACATAAATATAAAGAAACTTGCGAGAAAGCAAGAAAAAAAAATGATGGAAGATTATTAAACGGAAACGTTCCTAGTCATTAATAACACATGCCCATAAATATATATATATATATATATATATATATATATATATATGAGTTAAATCCGATAGTTATTTAATATATTTTCTGTTTATACGTTATTCTTATAGATAAATTATTTAAGTAAATGCTCTGTTTATAATAAACAGTATTAACAACATTTACTGGCCTGACTGTCCGAAAAATTTAATAGAAAATAGGTGTCCTCCGACAGGAAGTGTTTGGTTTGCTACGTCATATATAATGAAATGGACAAAGTCCGACAATTATTGTGATCTATTAATTGTTTATACAGTATTTTTATAGATACAAATGTTTAAGTAAATTCTCTGTTTATAATAAACAGTATTAACAACATTTACCTGTCGAATATATATATATATATATATATATATATATATATATATATATATATATATATATATATATATATATATATATATATATATATATATATATATATATATATATATATATATATCAAATAAAGAGAAAGAACGGTCAGATTAAAGAGTTAAGAAGTGGGGAACAAGATTTCAAATTTTATGGGTATATTGTGGTTGACCGGTCAAATTGCTGGTCAAAGCTAAACTAAAACATTGAAAAATATAGTTTAGAGGTTAACCTTTTACATATATTTTTAACATTTCTGCTTTTCAGGATATACGCATAAAATTTTGAAATTTCCATCTCGCGATGTAACATAATATATATATATATATATATATATATATATATATATGAATGATTAAAAGCTTTTTTACTGACATGGTTTTGAAGACACCTTCAGGCTGGGAAACATACGCCCTTTAAAAGGAACTTTAATCGCCAGAGAACTGATTAATTACCAGATCCCTGTGGAATCTTAGACGCTACCAATCTTTGAAACTTACTAAAAGTAACATTTATAAATTATATCCAGATAGAAATGCAAGATGTCAGGAACGACTTGTCATCCCAAATGTAATTTCAGAAAACATTCATCGCTGTTTAAATTGCTTTAATCTTTCTATGTAATTGTCGAACATTATTTTTTTATTGTTTTAATGACGCCCATGTCTTTATTCGAACAAAACTCCTGAGAACAGTAGAAAGAACATAAGTCTAATTATCATAGCCTACTTAAAGGATAAAGCGACAATCACGAGCATATAAGATACTGTCACATTGCATCTTGTGGTTGGCAAATTGATAGTTGACAGTATTTTAACATGGTCATTTTAAAATAATTGCAAATCGGACTGGAATTAGAATACACAGATACACATACACTGACACACACATACGCACACAAACACACACACATATAGATATGTCAGTAAATTTAGTGGTGCCATTTTCCTTACTCACCTTATACTTACAAATATACCCGTGATAACACCTTTTTATATATAAGTCTGTTCAATATATATCTATTTATCTAATTTATCTAAGTCAGTTTATCTATCTATCTATCTATCTATCTATCTATCTATCTATCTATCTGATCATATCGATCTATAAGTAGATTTAAAGAGAGCCTGGTTCAAATGTTGTGACGAAAACCAACCCAAAATTAAAACGAAAATAAACCGTAGTCAAAATCTATTAATGGGACTTGAAAATCTTCATCTGATAAATATAATATGAGCATAATACTACTGATTTTCTGTAAAGAACATGTTCCGTCAGGGTGTAGGAGATCATGGTTCTTCACAGCATCCCCTTTTTTTTTTACTACGCATGATTTACCATAGCGTATTGGGCAAGAGAGTGGAGTAGTTTTTTCTTGCTTTCTCCACGCTACTAAACTCAATGTTTTCCTTCTCTCAGTGTAGTTACCGTAGTTATCAGTATTGGAAGCTAAATCAGTAAACTGAGTTAGAATTTCAGCCTCTTCTGTTACCTTCACTTCCCACATAATACGTCTTAGAAAGCCATAAACTTATCTTTGCTACTCCACCAAGATTTGGATTGAATAGCACGTTAGACAGCGTTATTCAACCCAAATCTTGGTGGAGTAGCAAAGATAAGTTTATGGCTTTCTAAGACGTATTAATGAAGTGAAGGTTAACCAGCGAGGCTGAAATTCTAACTCAGTTAAGCTTCCAATACTGATAACATTTATTCCCCATACTAATCATATTTTTAACTGATTCTGTTATACATAAACAAACAACGCGTATGCATGAAATTAAAAATAGAAAATAGCGACAATTTACACATTGCACCCTATATATTGCGTATGAACTGTAAGATATGCATATAATCTCTCACTCTTTAAATATTTTATCTAGAAAATGATCAATTACTTGTGAAGGCTAATAAGCCTATTCGAAGATATGTAATTCCCAGAATGCACTGCCAAGTAAAGAAGGCTCTGTAATGTTATTTGTCCTGACCGGGCAAATCGAGTTTTGTCACTTTCTCACCGACGTGATGTGGCTTCCTTCTGTCTTTTCTGCAAATATTTTCATGGAAATTGTTTTATTTTTTTGGTGCTCCGACTGCAGGAATTTAAACGTGATGCTACATTTTGCAACGATGTATTATCATTTTATTATTGAACTAGCTAGATGAAACCGCCTGATCTATTCTAATAGATCCTTTTCTCTAACTTCCCGCCTTTGGTACGCCCTTCCGATTTCTTGCTTCCCTGCCAACTACAATCTTCACAAACTTAAATGCAATGCCAGTCGCCATCTTTTCCCTTTCTGAATCGTTTTTTTTTTTATTGTCCTTTTTCCTTCTTTCTCCTTATTAAAGTCTTCTCATTCTAATTGACCCCAGTAACTGTATCGCCTTACTTGGGTGAAATGATTGAAAAACAAAAACAAACAATGTACCCGGCATGTAATATAAGTAAATACATATCTGTGTTATTATTGTGGATGAGTTTTAACTTTTCCTCGACTTAAACAAACGTAATATTTCATTAGTATTATCGTTCATTACCAACCTTCTATTCTATTCAGTAAACTTTCCTATGTTTAATACAAATTCAAAGACTGACCTCGAAAATCAATGGATAATAATCAGCCAAAATTTAAACTAAACCTATAAATGTTAGCTGGTGCTGACGTTAGATGGAAACCTTCAGTAACCTTTGGTTTTGTACAGGTTATCGCGAGATTAAAAATCCCATTTTCTGCATGAGCAGACCTGCCCCTATTCACAATTGGTTGTTTGTTGTTCTTCGGCAACGATCAGATACACTCATCCTAATTTTGATTTCATGACAAACATGACAAAATACCGATGTAGTTTGTATTGTATTGAGTAATTGAGTCTCACTGAAAGACGAAAGCCTAAATTAAATTTTAACTGAAGTTTATATTGGGCACATTAATTCAAATGCGTCTTTTAAGTCGTTAACGATTTTCACCTTGATCAAATTTAAACACGCCGACTTGTTTAACAGTAGTCATTAACGCTAATTGTACGCTTAGCTTTGCTTAAATCACTTTTTCGAAAATGTATAAAAGAAAAAAAGATGAAGAAATTTAAACTCTAACTGAAAAGGATCCCCGGATATCTTTTACAACTGGTTAGATTCCGTTCTCGATTGGGATAGAATGTTGAAGACTTTCCCATGTAATCAGGTTGGCGTCACGAGGTCACATTTAGAATTATCGGCAACAGATTAAAATTTTCTCTTTTTAACTGAATTCATCTAAGAATTGGAAAGAAAATACTATTTTCTCTTTGTTTTCTTTTTTCCTCTCGATTCTTTCTTTCTTTTTCTTCCTTTCTTTCTTTATGTCGCTTATACTCTTTCTTTCATTTTTTTTCTTTTTTTCTTTCTTTCTTTCCATCACCGATACATTTGTTTTCTGTTTTGCTTTCTTTGTTTTTTTTCTACATCTGTTTGTTTCTTTTTTGTTCCTTCTTTTTGCCTCACTAATAATCTTTCTTTCTTTCTTTCTTTCTTTCTTTCTTTCTTTCTTTCTTTCTTTCTTTCGTTTTTTATTTCTTTCTTTGTCCCACTAATCTTTCTTTCTTTCTTTCTTTCTTTCTTTCTTTCTTTCTTTCTTTCTTTCTTTCTTTCTTTGTCTCACTAATAATCATTCTTTCTTTCTTTATTTATTTATTTGTTTCTTTCTTTTCAACTTATACCATTTTTTTTTTTTTCTTTCATTTATAATTTTCTTTCTTTTTTTTTTCTTTCTTTCTTTCTTCTTTCTCTCATTTATTCTTTCTTTCTTTTTTTTTTGTCAAATGCATTTTTCTTCATTTTCTATTGTAAGAAATACTTTTTGTTTAACTTTTACAACTCGAAATGGCTTTGTATTGTTTCGCGTCCCCGGTTCTGATAATTCTGAAAGATAAAACGATGATTATTAAAGGAAGGAGAAAAGGATGGAGAAAAGGAAAACAAAGGAATGAGATAAATGGCGAAAAGATCGAAGCGAAAAGAAAAAACGGAAGCAGGCAAAAGGAATAAAACTTGAATGAAGGCTGAACAGAAACGAACGACATTCGACAGGAAGAAAGTGAAGCAGGCTAACAAACCTAAAACTGAAAAAGGACATATCATCTTTATTCATAGTAAATCTGAGAGAAAACTAAACTATTATCACGGCCTAGGATTCCCTTCTCAACAAATAAAAAAAGCGCTGCTATTCTAGTCTCTTTGTTCTCTCACTCTTTTAAACACAATTCTTCTCTCCATCGTTTCACATTTTTAATTAATTGACATATTCAGCCCAAAATATTCTGTAAATTATCGAATACAACTTTAAAAAAAATCCCGACAACTTACGGACAAATGCAAAAAAAGAACGACGAATTTTAAAAAAAAAAAACTCTTCAAGTATCTGCTTACACTGTTTAAGAGAAAAGAATTTACACAGTTGATTGGGACCAAAGAATGAATTTCTATGAAAAATTTCATGGAAAAGATTGAATGAGTTCTCACCGATTCATTCTCAATCTTTATTTTCCAAAGATGTTAAAATACTTTATTTCTTAAGTAACATTAAATGATTTTTTACAGTTATCGGTGAATTCTTTATTTTCAAAATATCTCGAAATTCTGTATGTACCAATTAACTCTTGGTCCTGTATTTCCTAAAGATCACGAAATTTTGGTTAAGCAACATATGATGCGGCATTTTCCAATTCGCTCTGAATCCTATATATTTCCTAATTAATATTGGCTACCGTATTTTTCCAATTAAATCTCTTATAACCAAAATGGCGTTGTTATTCTTGAGATAATATTAAAATAATAGAATCTGTAGAAATTATATGTTACATGTTTTCTATTTAGAATTTCTTTTGTTTCTTTTAATCATTTCATCCCAAACAAGGCAATAAACCATCTAAAACACAAGGCGTTACTGAGTGTTACAGAATATGTGGGGAACAAATTTTAAGGAGCGAAAAAAATACTTAAAAGAAGATAATGAGTGTCATTGCATTTAAAGCTTTGAATCAAAGTTGACTGGCAAGCAAGAAGTCGGAAGATAGTTTGTTGTATATATATATATATATATATATATATATATATATATATATATATATATATATATATATATATATACACACTTCGCGTCGGTTGAAATACATCTATCCCCATATGAGGTAATTTTTGATTTTGTTGTGTAAATTATATGATCTATTATAATAAATACATTTTTGTGGATCAGTTTGATATTTGATATTACTATGATCTACTTGAATTATATACCAACGGATTTATTACCTGTACTCTCTCTCTCTCTCTCTCTATATATATATATATATATATATATATATATATATATATATATATATATATATATATATATGCGCGCGTGTGCGTGTGTTCGTGTGTATATTGTATATTTGTGCAGCAATACCTCTTTTAAAAGATGGGTTTCTGTCCAAATACAAATTTATTTACGTTACATGGCCCTGTAGCCGATAAGGTAATTAACCGTAATAACTTGACGTTTTAATTTAATATATATATATATATATATATATATATATATATATATATATATATATATATATATATATATATATTCATGAATTATTCATACAATTATTCTATTCATTCATAGATGTTGTTCTTGTTTTTTTCTCTCAGTAATAAGTAATAGCATTTTTCGGATACAACAATACATATATTTTCGTTGTCCTCTTATTACTGAGAGAAAAAAACAAGATTCTTATCTATTCCAAACCTGAAGATGTCTGTAGGAACAGACGAAAGCTTGTAGTAAAAATAAGAACTAATGCAGCAGAAATTTATAGAAACAAGGATCTTTTCATTCATAACAGGTTCGGGGGGTTTTGTATATTATTTGAATTGTTTGCGACGATGAATTTCTCGCCAATTAAATCATTAACCTTTGTATTTGTTTTTGTATGAATAATTCATGAATTTGTAAATTGATTGCACGTTTATCGATATATATATATATATATATATATATATATATATATATATATATATATATATATATATAATCATATGGCCAAGTATATCTGGTGAGGTTCATTTTAAAGTTATGGATTCTTACTTATATGGTGTATTATATCTTGAATGATTTTAAAATGTTCTAAAATTGTAAAGAAACATTGCAAATGCTCATTTTGTGCAACATTTTAATGAACATCTAAAATGTCAAATAAGTTTTGGTTAGGTTAGGTTTCGATTAGAGATAGCTTGGGTTTAGAATTAGGCTTGGGTTAGGATTGGTTTAAGTTTTGGTCTAGGTTTTACTTAGGGTTTAGCGTTAAGATTTGGCTTAGGATTTGGGTTTGGCTTTAAGCTTTCGGGTTACGTTTTATATTTAAATTTAAAGTTTCGTTTCAGGGTTAAGATTACAAAAATAGGTTTAGGGTTAGGATTACTGATATATCTTACTTTTTCGTATGTTTTTATGGTTAGCTTTAGCGTTAGTGTTACGGTTTTTTTAAGGCTTATTTTTATGTTCAGGTTTATTTTTAGCGTTTGTTTTGTCTTTAGGTTTCAAATTTAGGGTTACATATTTGTTTTAAGATTTGAAGGTTATGGCCAGGTTTAGGCTGATGTTAAGCAAAATAGGTTTTATATAAGAAAAATAGGAACTATAAATAATGCATAAATTTAAGCGCTAACATACTGACAACGTTTTCTTCTTTCTTTGACTTGTGTTTTTCTACAAACCCTTCCCTGTTATTGCAACTAAAATCAGCAATTTAAAAATACAGATAGCAGAGGAGGGACTGCGAACCAGGGGAAATTCCGATTTGAAAGTTCAAAACTGTCTTACATGTAAAAACTAAAAAAAAAAAATGTAAATAAATTCTTTCGCACTTAGAAAAACAAAAGTAAATAATAAACAATGTAATAAAAGCTCAGTGAGAGCTGGTGCACTGAAGACATTTTCTGGTACTTAATCTACATTGGTACGGAGGGGTAATACATAGCAGCTCCATCCGTTTGCTCACATATTCGTGTTGGGTGATGAGGACTAGTGATTCTTCTGACCCTTCTAATTACCGTCCTATCAGTCGCCTACCCCTCTTCGGCAAAGTCTTCGAAGCTTTAATCAACGCCGAAGTGGTTAAGCACCTTACATCACATAATCTGCTCTCCGACAAGCAATATGGTTTCCACTTTGCCCGTTCTACAGCTGATGTGTTTACGGCCATAACTGAAATTGTTTACCAAGCCTTACAACGGGGAAGTTCGTGCAGTGGCTCTAGATATCTCCAAAGCATTTGATAGGGTTTGGCATGCCGGCCTTCGCAAGCTTCAGGGTTATGGAATTTCAGGTCGATTGTTCGACTTGATATAATCATTCCTGTCAAACCGTGCATTGAAGGTCGTTCTCAACGGATTTTCCTCCAACTCCTATCCCACGAACGCAGTTGTTCCCCAAGGCTCCATCCTGGGCCCTACTCTGTTCCTTATCTTCATCAATGATCTTCCTGACGTCATAGATTCCCAAGTAGGGATCTACGCGGACGGCACTACAATTTACTCCTGCCTCAAAAACAATTCTAGTGTCGTTGACAAAACTAACCTGGCCGTTTCTCTCGAAAAGGATCTCCAATCGGTTGCGAACTGGGGCAGGAATTTGCTGGTTAACTTTAACGCTTCAAAAACAAAACTGCTCTCTATTAATCACCACAGAGAACCATCCCTGCCCTCATAAGAATGTCTGAAGCTCAACTACTCGAGAGCTCCTCTTTGCGACTCACATTGATTGCTGACCTGAGATGGCACAAATACATTGGGTCAATAGCTTCGTCCACCGCAAGGAAAGTTTTCTCGCCGGAGTCGATCCTTCAAATCTACAAATCAACCATTCGCCCTTGCATGGACTATTGCTGCCATATATGGTCTGGTACATCTTACGTTTTTCTCAAGGTTCTTGATAAGATCCAAAGACAGATATGTAACGTAACTGGCCCTGATCTGGAATCTTGTCTGCAGTCACTCTCTCACAGACATGCCGTCGCCTCCCTCTGTTTTTTTTTTTAATTTAATTTTTTTTTTTTTTACAAATATTTCATGGCAACTGCTCCGATGATCTGTTTTCGCTGGTTCCCAAACTTCATGAATTTAAGCATTCTACTAGGCTGGCATCTCGCTCACACCCTTTCACTGCCTAAACTGTTAAATGTAGTCGTTTCTTTTACTCTAAGAGCTTCATGTCTCGCACTTATCTTCCTGTTTCCCTGATAGCTATAATCTCCAACTATTCAAATGTAATGTTTATCGACGTCTCCAGATGCCCTGATCTATCCCATATGCTTCTCTTCATCCTTTCCTCTATCACTCCTATTTGCTCTAGCTTCAACTCTCTGAAACCGCTTGCGTGCTAGTGGTTTCCCGCCTTGCTTGGGGTGAAATCCTATTCTCCTCCTACCAGCTATGGTAAATAGTAGGACAGACCGGGTTCAATAGCCGGGGGCGGCAACTGGTTTAGGAGAAGGACAACTCTGAATTCAAAACCCTACCCTCCAGGTTGGGAATTGTGCAGTTAAAAACTGGTTTGTGACAGAAACCAAAATCGATATCCTGCGGCCCTATGATCATGAAAGTATTTAAAAGGCATAATATATATATATATATATA